AAAGCCAGAGAGTTTTTTTCAATTCTTATACTTTATGTAAAGGGAATCAGGTGTTCGTCTTTGTATATCTGATATCTTTCATTCGACATTATGCTTATAATATTTGTTCAAGTTGTTACATATAGTATTAGTTTTATTTTTATTTGTATAAAAGTATTCCATTTTATGACTACATCGCAATGTATTTTTCATTCTACTATTGATGGGATTTGGGTTATTTCTACTTTGGATGGTTATGAACACTCTTTTGAATATCTTTAGTGCACATATTACAAGAATTTCTGTTGAATATATATATAGGATGAATAAGGTATGTGAATGGTCAATTTAGCTAATGTCAAAATTTCTCAAAGAGTTGTACTCATTTGCATTCTCATCAGCAGTATAGAATTGTCTCTCTCACTCTATATGTTCATCCACTCTTGGTTTTGTCAGTCTTTTACATGTTAGCCATTCTGGTGGATATTTTGCACATATAGTAGTTTTTATTTCCCTGAAGATTGTAAAGAGATCAACTTTTCATATATTCATTGGCCATTTAGATATCTTCTTCTGTGAAGATATTTAAAGCCCTTACACACTTTTCTATTGGTTTATCTTTTATTGATTTATGAGTCTTTACATAATCTCAATACAATCCCTTTGTCAATTATCTATATTGCAAATATTTTTTTATATTCTGTGTATTGACTTTTCACTCTTATTGGGGTTTTTAGTGAACAAAAGTTCTTAATTTTAGTATAATTCTATATTTATTATTTCTTTTATGGTTTATGCTTTATTGTGTCCTAGCTCAGAAATCTCTCCCTACTCTGATAAGTCTTGAAAATACTCTCTTATGTTATCTTCTAGAAGCTTTGGTGCTATTCACATTTAGATATATAATCCATTTGAAATTTGTTTCTATGTTTCACATGAGATTAAATTTTCTTTTTTCTCATATGAATATGCTTTTGAAAAAATATCTAAAAAACTATCTTATCTACTTCTCTGTAGTACTACTCTTCTGAAAAATAAATTATTCAGGTAAATGCATGTCTGTTTCTGGACTCTATTTTGTTCATTTTTCTCTTTTTAAGACAGTCCCCTTAAGTAAGACTGTTTTAGTTACTATAATTATTATGGCTTTTAAATAAGTATCTGGGAGAGTAATTTCTTTTACCTTTTCTCCGTGATTGTCTTGACTGTTCTAGGTCTTCTGCAAATCCATATACATTTTAGATTTGTTAGTTCTCTGTTGCGTTCACCTAGATTTATTTTTTTTTTTACGAGCACAATCCAGAATTTATACTTACTACTTCCATTCACATCCTCTTGGGCAGAATATTATTACATAATTCTATCTAGCTATAAGGATGGCTCAAGAAATCAGTTCTGCCACTGTTGTGGCAGTTTGCCTAGCTAAAAGTATTATTATGACAGAAGAGGTAACAGATTTTGAAAATTACCTAGCAGTCTACCATACCATTTGGGATTCTTTTTTTTTTTTTTTTTTGAGAGGTTTTTTTCCTTATAGGGCGCGTGCACTCGCCAGACAGGCACAGAGACAGAGAGACAGAAAGCGAGAAATCACCCCCCCCAGGGGGGATGGCCACGCCGCAATCCCTTCTCCTCCATTCTCCTCTCGGAATCTTGGGCAGCACGCACACGCGCCCGGCGTGAGTTTTAAGCCACTGGGTCCGGGACGCAAATCGCAGTCGACTACGTGGGAGTCCAGCGACATAGCCATTACGCTAACTGCTGGTTCCCCCACTTGGGATTCTTATAAACCATATCAATCTCACAGATTTTATCCCTCCCCACCTACCTCTGTTGTGGGTCCCATTATACTTTAAACCTTCTCTGGCTTTCCCCAGTAATACACTCTTACAGCATGAAACATAGGTTCTGTAGTTGCTTCCTTCTGTGTTCACTAGGCTCATGAATGTCTGGGAACTATCCAGACATTTATATGCATGAGCCTAACTAATTCTTCCTACAAGGACTCTATTTCTGTATCCGTATTTTACAATATATAATTGTGTCATAATGCAGAATATACAGAAATGATGACTGATTGACTGGTCCATGGCCTACTGGTTAAGAGATCCGGATCCCACATAGCCATCTGTGCAGTTGGAATCCCAATCCCAGAGGCCAGAAAAATGCACCAGGCTTATGTGCTGTGTGCTCCAAATTATGAAAGGATGGAGAAATGAAGGAGAAGGAATTACGGCTTGACCACACCCTACTGGGGAAGTGCTTTTTCCTGCTTTCTCTCTCTGTCTCTCTTTCTATGGCAAACACATACTCCCTCTGGTAAAAAAGCAAAAACAATAATAAAATGTTTTAAACTTTGCTAGGGGTAGATTTTTCTATTTTTTCACTTTTTAAAAGTGATCTATAATTTTTTAGTCTTAAGTTTATTGAAATGCAAATATGAGCACAATCCAGGCAGGAAATGGGAATGGAAGAATAATGGAAAAGATTAGAAAGAGAGTTTTAAAATTTTTTAAAAATTTTAATTGCCATGAAAAAAAAATCCATGAAATTTCCCATCTTACCATTTATAAGTGTGAAGTTCAGTAGTGTTAAGTATATTCATTGTTACACAGCAATCTCTGGAACTTTTTATTGTTTTTCCTGACCAGATCTCTCTTTGTCATTTTTTTTAGGGTCAGCGAAGACATGAAATTAACTGACTTAGAGCTAGGAAAGCTAGCAAATAATATCCAGGAGTTATTGTACAGTGCCTCAGATATATGCCATGATCGGGCCGTCAAATTTCTCATGTCAAGAGCAAAGGTAGTTATTTTCTTAAAGCTTTAGATATTTTATATTATATACATAATATAGTAATTTTGAAGTTCTGGAATTGTGTCTTCACTTGTATCCCTATGTTTTCCATAAGGCATGCTCTATTTTTAACACTTAATGGCAAAGTTAATTGTTTGATGTGGTCTACTAAAGAAATGTTGAAGTGTCAAAGAATCTAAAAGAAATAGAAAAAAGTTAAAGCATTCTTTTTAGATAAACAATTAAAGGACTTATTTTGAAATAGTATACCTTAATTAATGAAAGTTAATGTACAATTTTATAAGTATGTACATGTATATATATTTATAGATATATAGACTAACACGTTAATAAAATTAGTGAAACTTCAATATTGTGAAAATTTTAGAGTAGGACTTGAATACATTAGTGCTGCTGTATTATTACCAAGATATAAGGATCAAATTTAAACATCTACAGCTTTTTTTGTTTAATTACGGCATCTGAGATGTTGGAAATTTTTTCTAAAATGATAAAGAATAATTTTAATAATAATAATTATATTTTGGATCATAAAATAATATAATCGGTGTTAATGTTTGTTCAGCTGATTGGTTTTAATTCTCATAAACATTTGGTGTTACACTAACTCTGTCATGATTTTTGTGTTATCTTTCAAATTTAGGATGGCTTTCTTGAGAAGCTAAATTCCATGGAATTTATAACACTTTCTAGATTAATGGAAACATTCATTTTAGACACTGAACAGATCTGTGGAAGAAAAAGCATGTCATTACTTGGAGCACTTCAAAGCCAAGCTAATAAATTTGTTAATAGGTTTCATGAAGAGAGAAAAACCAAGCTCAGGTATCCCATGTCTATTCTGTGCTTTAGTTTTTTTCTTTCTCTTTATAAAATAAAATTATATTTAAAAGAAGTAACTTAATTGACTGGCCAGTGAAAATTCCTGATAATTTCTTTTTTAATTAAAGGCTGATTATGGAATTATAATCATATTTCTTGGCCTTTGAAAATGAGGTTAGAATGTTTATTTCTTTTAAAGTACTTAAAGGAAGATCCTCAATAGGCTGGCTTTTCTGCTCAAACTTACGTAAATTATGTTTCGTTACTCTTTGCTAGGCTAAGACATGTAAAAAGGGAAATATTGTCTGAGAATTTTGGTAGTTTATGAATGGTTCAGCTTATTATTTTAAAAATGGCATGTAATCATTCAGCTCTTCCTTTTCTTTTCAGTCAAGGCAGATAGTGTTGAAATATTGTTAAAGTTGACCTTCCTTTCTCTTTACTTTGGAGCAGCCTCCTGTTAGACAATGAGCGCTGGAAACAAGCTGATGTTCCTGCAGAATTTCAGGATCTTGTTGATTCTATATCAGATGGAAAAATTGCTTTACCTGAAAAAAAGTCAGGGGGTATGTTTATTCTTTCACATTCTCTCTTCCAATTTTATTATATTTATTTTGTATGAGTGCTTATACTTCTTTAATTGACAATGCCCATTGAAAAGCCTAGAGGTAATATTCCCAACTTCAGATATTTATTGTATTAACCATACACCAGACACTGGACCAGGTGCTTAACATGCTTTACTCCAGTTTATCATCATAGCAAGCTGTGATGAAGGTACTATGGTTACCTTGTTTAACAGTGAGGAGGGTTATGGTTTGGAGCAGTTAAGGAATTTTGCACAGATGGTGAGCTGAGATTTGAAAGCAGCTTTGTATAATTTCATAGCTACATTCTTAATAGCCATGTTGTTTAGAGACGTGCATTTATTGAGTGATCACTAATTTATTTCTACTTTGTGTCATATATTGAGACAAAGATAAATTCTAATTTTACTTTAAAGAAGCTAAGTCTGATAAACTAAACCAAAAAATATGTGAGCAATACAAGTAACATGGTTACATAATAGAGAAAACTAAAATAGAAAGAACTGTAGAGAGAGAAAACTATGAAGGAGACTAAGCAAGAAGAACCGGAACCAGAGAGAGAGTCAGGAAGATACTTAGAACGTGGAACTAAAAAATAGTTTCATTGAGAGAATTGTCTTTGACATCAAATATTGGTTGGGTTTTGTTCAAAAGGGATATAATGACTGGGAGAAATTTTTATACTCCAGTTAAAATGGAGTCATCATGTGATAATAATGCAAGCGATTTAAAACATGTCCTAGAGTAACAGATGACAGTTTTTGAAATTCTTGAATTCTTTTTTAAGAGGTTTTGCCTTAGGACATGTGTGCTTGCCAGAGATAAGACAGACAGAGATAGGGAGAGGGAAAATGAGAAGTCTCTCCCCCCACCCAGGGGGTATAGCCAAGCTGCAATCCCTTCTCCTCCATTCTCCTCTCTGGATTTTGGATATGTATGCACACGTATCTGGTATGAGTTTCAAGCTGCCGAGTCTGGGATTTAACCAGTCGACTACATGGAAGTCCAGTGACATAACCATTATGCCATCTGCAGCTAGTCCCACTTTTTGAATATTTTTAATGGTGGGGCAGTTGCATTGTTTCAAATTTTATGAATTTAATGAGAGTTTAATATTTCTATATAGAAGTATTTTTAAACTATACATTTCACATTTGTGTAAAATGCAACCACAACACAAGAGAAGGACAGTAAACCATATAGTGATCATTAGTTTGACATGTTGGAGATCAATTTTAGTAAGTCAGTGGTAGATAAAGTCAGGTTGCAGTTGAGTGCTAAATATCAATAACTGAAAAGGTGAAGAAGGGTAGACAAGTACTTTTTCAACAATTTGGCTGTGAAGGGAAAGTAAGTGATGAAGTGGTAGCTAGAAAGATAAGAAATTAGCAAGATTGTTGCCTTAATCTATTTAAGAAGTTAAAGAGTTTTTTGTAAGGTAGTAGAAGCCACATTGTATTCAAATTCAGGCATATCAGGATTTTTGTCCATTTACCTGTGATGCTATACAGCTTCTTTGCAAATAGAGAACTAAATAAAACAGTCTGTACCCTCAACAATTTATAGTCTGGGGCTAGCAGGTAGCATCGTGGTTAACCACTGGACTCCCACATGGTGATCTTGGTTCGAGTCCTGGACCTGGAGGCTTGAGAATCATGCTGGGTGTATGGGTGTGTGTGCCCAAATCTCAGGAGGAGAATGGAAGAGAAGTGATTACAGTGTGACCTTCCTCCCACAGGGGTTATTTCTCTCTTTCCTTCTTACTGTTTCTCTCTGAGCACATGTGCCCTATGGCCAAAACCTAAAAAAAAAAAAAGGAAAAATCTAGTCTGAAATACACAGTAAATTATAATTAGAAATTATACTACATTGGACTTTGCTTGAAAGAAAAGAGGAAGTAAACATTTCATGTTTTAGAGTTTACAGGATTTCAAGCATAGGAAAACAAAATTATTTATCCATGGTAACGTAATGATTTTGGCTGATTCAGGACAATAATCTAGTCCACTATTCTTTTCACCTCAATACACTGAATTTTGTTTTATAATGAATAATTAAAAATGTCAAATGTTGAAAATAATGTAACTTTTGGGTTGAAATTTTGAGAATTAAATACATAACCTCTCAATGAATTTAGGAATTAACTCATATTCTTCTTCTTCTTTTTTTTTTTTTAAGAGAGATTTTTGCTCTAGGGAGTGTGTGCTTGCCAGAGAGACAGAAAGTGAGAAATCACCCCGCTGGCGGTGGGAGAGGGATGGCCACTCCACAGTCCTTTCTCCTCCATTTTCCTCTTGGGATTTTGGGTACATAGGCACACATGTCCAGTGTGTTTTAAGCTGCTGGGTATGGCACTCAAACCACAGTTGAGTATGTGGGAGTCCAGCGACATAACCATTACATCATCTGCTGGTTCCGTAATTAATTCATATTTTAAGAAGAATGATAATAATGAGGACAATTAGTTGATATATTAATTTTGTCTTTACAAACTAATAATTTTTAAAATACTTATTTAATTATTATTATTATTATTATTATTATTATTTTAATTTGACCAGAGAGAAACAGGGTGGGGGGGAGTGAGAAAGCAAACCGCTGGGTCTGAGACTTCAACTATGGTCTGCCATGTGCAAGTCTAGCGCCCCAACCACCGTGCCACCTGCCGGTCCCAATAATTTTTTTTTAACTCATTACGTACCACATGCCATGCCCTTAGGATAAGATAGTTTATAATTATTATCTCTACCATCATAATAGTCCTAAAAAACAGATACTTAATAGATACAGATATTGAGGCTCAAAGAGGTTAAGTAATTGACCCAAAGCTATACATCCAGAAGTTGGCACTATTGGTATCAAATATCTTTAAGTCTAAACCCAATATAGTTTACTTACTCTGTGCCACATTGTTTCCCAACTAGAGAGTTATTTTCAGAAATGATGTGGTTCTGGGCCCTGGATAGGAATGATCTCTTTCAGTTTTTGCCCCAGTATCTTGTTTCATCTTGTACCCTGTCTCATTTATTTGCTTTACCTTCTCATTGTAGAAGAAAGAAAACCAGCGGAAGTTCTCATTGTTGAGGGGCAACAGTATGCTGTTGTTGGGTGAGTGATATTTTTATTTATTAGTTGAGTTCATTATTTAAAATATAAGTCTTCTAATTCCTCCATGAAGTGTAGTGGAAATTCTGAATTAGTGATTTTTAATTCTATAAAGAATTTAAAGAAAATTTTATGAATTCCTTTTCATTTTCTATATTCTATAGTGTACTTTATCCACAAAGTACTATACTGGATAAACAGAAAGGGCTTGATTTTTCTCATAGAACAGGAAATCCAGATGATCCAAGGGTGATGCAGTGGCTCTGTGGCATTATTACTATCCCAGGCTCTTTTTTCCTACAGCTTTCATAATTTATGACGTAGCATAGTAGTTCAAGTTGTGGATTCTGGAGCCCCAAAACTGTGGAAACTATTACCATACATAAAATTATTGTAAACATTAAGCAGAAAAATGTATGTAAAGCATTTAGCACAGTTCTAGCACCTAATACATTAATATTGTTGGTACAGTTTAGATATTCCTATAAAATCTGAAGCATTCCGAGTGTCTACTGGATACCACAAGTAGAAAATTTAATACCTGATCTTATGTGATGAGTCACAGTCAAAAAATGCTACAATACAAAAATATTGTATGAAATTACCTTTAGACTATGTATATAAGGTGTATATAAAACATAAATAATTTTCATGATAGATTGGGTCTCATTCTCAAAATATCTCATGTATATGGACATTTTCCAAAATTTAAAAACAAAATCTAAAATCTGAAGTACTTCTGCTCCCAAGCATTTTGAATAAGGGATAGTTATCCTCTTGTTATTTTTTTAATCATCATCATTTGAATCATTGGTTCTTTTACCAATAAAAAAAATTTTTTTAAATAAATTATTGGTAAAAATAAAAAAAATATTTTTATTGGTAAAAATAAAAAATACAAATTCCAGCATAGTGGGTACTACATGCCTTTAACAAAATTGGTAATCAAAATAATGTCTTCGTGTTTTTTTCTTTAATTGCCAGAGGGTGTCAACCTTGATAGAGAAAGAGAGACAGACAGAGAGAGAAAATATTTCCCAATGGAATATGGTCACATTCAATCTCTTTTCTTCATTCATAATTTTGTTGGGATTTGGGGTATACGCACACACATGCCCAGCATGTTTTTCATTCTGCCTATGCTGGGATTTGAACTCTGGTTAGCCATGTGGTATCTGGTTCTCTTACCCAGTAGGCCACAAGGGCTGGCCCCATGTTTTTTTAAAAAAACTTCATATTCTTTAACAGTACTTCACAGTCTAAGTATTTTCATATATATGATCTCATTTGATATTTACAACCACTCTTTGAAATAAAAATATCAGGATTATCATTTTCCTTTTATAGTTAGAGAATTGATACTGAAATAGTTAATAGAAAGTAACCCAAATAGGGTAAGAATTCGAATCTAGGTCTAACTCAATATCTAGACCAGCATTCTTCTTTACTTTCTTCTTTGCTTCTTTTCTCACAGAGTCTTTTTTAGAAATAACCACTCCCTCCAAGAAGAATGTAACTTTATGTGCCTTTATCATGGCATTTACCCTAACATAAGACATGTGTATGTCTCCTTGGTTAGATTTTGAGTTCCTCAAAGGTGAGGATCATGTCTTACTATTTTAATTTTTTTTAACAATATTATATATACTTTAAAAGAATGTATAGAGGGGCCAGCAGGTGGTGTGGTGGTTAAGGCACTGAATTCCCACATGGCTGACAGTTAAAGTCCCAGACCTGAAAATCATGCGAGGTACATATGTGCATGTGCTCAACATCCTGGGAGGAGAATGAAGGAGAAGGGATCGTGGCATGGTCCCTGGGCCCACTTTCTCATTCCCTGTCTCTCTTTCTCTGGTGAATACACGCATCCTATGGCAAAAGCCTACCAAAAAAAAGAAAAAGTGTATATAGATTTGATGCTTTGTCTCAATCTGTATTCAATCAAGTCTTTGAAGTGTATGCATTATTATTATTATTATTTTAAACCAGAGAGGGACAGAGAGAGAGAGGGAGAGAGAAAGAGGGAGGGAAAGTGAGAAAACATGCCACCAGGTCTGGGACTTGAACTGTGGTCAGCTATGTGGAAGTCCAGCACCCTTAACCACCATGCCACCTGCCAGTCCCAGTATGCCCATTCTTTTTTTTTTTTTGTTGTTGGAGAGGTTTTTGCTATAGGGCACATGCGCTCGCCAGACAGACAGAGAGAGACATAGAGACAGAAAGCAAGAAATCACCCCCCAGGGGGGATGGTCATGCCGCAATCCCTTCTCCTCCATTCTCCTCTAGAGATCTTGGGCATATACGCACATGCACCCGGCGTGAGGTTTAAGCCACCGGGTCCGGGATGCGAACCGCAGTCGACTATGTGGGAGTCCAGCGATAGAGCCATTAAACTAACTGCTGGTCCCAGTATGCCCATTCTTAAAATAAAGCCTCCGTTCTTTTCTCTTCTGGAATCTTGGTTTTCTAGTAGGACAAAACTTTTTACAACCTTTCTATAATCACATTCCTTCAATCTAACTGTGATTGCCCTCCTTAACTACCCATTAGCTGCTTACTTTTCATGTGCTCGATGAAGTGGTCCCCTCTGGCTTTTTCGTTTTCTGGCTCTTTATGCAAAGAGGCTATTGCCAAAAAATTGAATTCCCTGGTTAGAAGGGGACAATTATATCTTATGAGAGAAGATTACAAAAGATAGGCAATGGACTTATGCCTAGGAAAGCAGACTATAGGAGTATTCTGGAAAGTGACAGGTAAGCTATTATAAAGACTAGACACTGTCTTTCTTGAATTGTTAGTTCCTGATACTCTTTTTTTTAAGAGAGAGATTTTTTGCTGTAGGGTGCGTGCATTCACTGGAGCAACAGAAACAGAGACAGAAAGCAAGAAATCACTCTCCAGGATGGGTGGCCACCCTTCTCCATTCTCTTCTTGGGATTTTGAGCATGCATGCACATGCACCCAGTATGAGTTTTAAGCTGCCAGGTCCAGGATTCAAGCCAGGGTCAAATACATGAGAGTCCAAGTTCTTTATATTCTTAAGAATTTTATTAACCCGTTATTTTACATAGATCTCTAATTTCTGAGTTTCACACCAAACTTAGATGTCCTATAATGAATCAGTCTTTCTCCTTTAATATCAATCTTATTACCTTTCACAGTAGTATGTCTTTTATTCAGTAGTATTAATAAGTTTTCTTATTTATTTCTTCCATGAAAGAGAGGGAGACAATGAGTGAGGGTGAAAAAGAGACAGGCACCCCATCAGGTCTTCATGCCATGATCCACCCCCAGCTAGTCAGGCTCATGGGCATACACATGCATGCATGGGCAAGGAGACCGCAGGACATGAACTGGGGACCTTCCTATGTGGTCTCAGCATCACAGAGCATTACATTATCAGTGCACCACTGCAACTGGCCTAGTAGTGTATCTTTTTAATGTGTATGTGACCTATAAATCTGTTAACTTTTCATCTTTGTAGAACCTTCTGTGACCTACCAGTAAAGTTTTTTGTTGTTGTTGTTTTGTTTTGTTTTTAATCTGCCACAGGCTGCATGAGCTCACTGGAGAGAGATGGGGTGGGGGGTGGGGCGGAGTGTGTGGAGAAAGCATCCGTCGGGGGAGATGGCCATCATGCTGCAATTCCTTCTCCTTAATTCTCTCAGGATTTTGGGCATGCACACATGTGCCTGGCACGAATTTCAGGCTGCTAGATCTGGGACTTGAACTGCATGCTTGGCCATATGGGACCCAGCCACATTAACCACCATGTCATGGAATGGCGTGTAATAAACTTCTTAGAATGATATTTTGTCTTTAGAAACCACTATAACTTCTCTTTCATCTCACTAAGAAAATCTGGACTGGGTTCCCTTTATTAACATAATAGTTATGAGCGAGAACCTAGTATGTAGGTAGTCAGAAAAACAGGGTAGTCTTTTTGTCAGTGTTTCTGAATTGGCCAAGGAATGAAACTTCCTTGGTAAGAATGTCACACTGAAAGTGCTTTGCCTGTAGTACAAAATTTAAGGAGGTATTCTTTCTCAGTTTGGTGTAAGTGCTGACCCTGTAATTGCACAGCTCTGAGAATAAGTGCCTCCCCAAATTTTATATCCCAGCTGCTTCTCTTGCTTCATATTAGTTCAGAACTTACTGTACTTGTAGATGAAATATATAATTTAACTTACCAAGACCAGTATATCTTCAGAGATCCACTCTACTAATAAGAAACTTGATTTTTGCATGGGAAAACAGCTTTATTTTTTTGTCTTTATTGATTACTTGGTTTTCTTTCTTTTCTTATAGAACTGTATTGCTGTTAATAAGAATTATCCTTGAATATTGCCAGTGTGTGGATAACATCCCATCTGTTACTACTGACATGCTTACTCGTCTGTCAGATTTATTAAAGGTATGTATGATTTCACATGTTAAGGAAAAATACTTGGAAGAGTTCATTCATTAGGATGTGACAGTTCAACTCTGAGACAGTTTAAGGTCAAGAAATCTTTAAGACATTAATTTTGCCACATTTGATTGTGGTTGAATCACTACATGTTACTGGAGAAAGGCTACCCATTTCCTTCTCACCCCACATGTAGTGATTCCTCATGACACCCATAGAGTTGTTAATGACATTAGAGACGGGATGATTTGTTCGTTAGGTGCTGAACATGACTGAGGCCACTTAGGTCATAAACCTGGACTGGTTTCAAATGTGCATGGAAGAAATTCACAGAACTTTACAAAAATTCATCTCACTAAGGTTAGATATTTTTTTTACACCATTCTTTCCAAACTATTGATGTAAAATGAAAACGTGATAATTTTATTCAACCAATTCATATTAACAGGTATTTTTAACTGGTAGCATGGAGGAAAGGCTTTATGTTTTCAAACCTCTAATCTTTTAATTACCTGTGTCCTGAACTTGATCTGTAATGTTTTAGTTGAGGAAGATTTTTGTTACTCTTTTGAAAATAGGACTTTACAGTAAGAATGACTGAAGTTGAACTAGTTTTGTAAATGCAAATTAAAGATTAATTTCTGAAAGCCAGTTTTTAGAATTTCTCAACCTTTTTTCTACAAGACAGTGAAATTATCATTTAGAATCCTTCTCCCCATTTTTTCTTATTACATAAATAGATCCTAAGTGCTTCTACTAGAAAATTCATTTGGTCCTTGAAAGAGAGGAAAGAGGAATGTATTTTTTAGAATAATTAACACATTGCCAGAATATAAAGAATAGTTTTTAATAAATTGTTGGGGTTTTTTTTTTCTCCTTCCTTTGTTAGTACTTCAATTCAAGAAGTTGCCAGTTGGTTCTTGGAGCTGGTGCACTGCAAGTTGTTGGACTGAAAACAATAACTACAAAAAATTTGGGTATGGATTCTTGCATTTTATTCACGTGCTGAGATGTTACAATAATGTCATTGTACTCATCATGTTTTTGTACCTGATGTTTTCATGGCTCTAACCAAAGGCTCTAAAAGTGCAAAAGTTAGTTCACATTCTCATGTATTGTTATAATTGAAAACCTACCTCTGGGGAAATGTTATAAGAAACGTCTAGTCTGACAAGTTTTAAGTTATTTGGAAGTTGTACCACTGTAGAAAATGTTAAGATGGGGACCAGCAGTTAGCATAATGGTTATGTCGCTGGACTCCCACATAGTCGACCGCGGTTTGAGTCCTGGACCCGGTGGCTTAAACTCACACCGGGTGTGTGTGCATGCATGCCCAAGATCCTGAGAGGAGAATGGAAGAGAAGGGATTGCTGCATGGCCATCCCCCCGGGGGGTGATTTCTCTCTTTCTGTCTCTCTGTCTCTCTCTGTCTGGCGAGCGTACGCGCCTTATAGCAAAAACCTCTCCAAAATAAAAAAATATAAAAAAAAAGGAAGAAAATGTTAAGATGTAATGTGAATGCAGTACTTTGGGGTGGTACTTTATCTGAATGTCAGAAAATTATTGGTTACCTTGTCAGCATCCTCATGCCAGGAATTCTCATAACTGGAGTCCATTGGAAAAGTGTATGTTCACTATATTATTCATACCGAATTTTTTTTTGTAAGCAAAGTGAAATATGGTGCTCTTTGTGCATGAAATAAACAGGGATCTGTATAAAACTGCCATTTTTAAACTTAATTTGCTATGTAATTAAAATAAACTGATATCTTTTTTGTTTGTTTCTTCATTTGTTCCCTGGATCGTCAGCTCTTTCTTCCCGATGTTTGCAGTTAATCGTGCACTACATTCCTGTGATCCGGGCTCATTTTGCAGCTCGATTACCACCTAAGCAATACAGCATGCTTAGGCATTTTGATCATATCACTAAGGTACTTTTTCATATATTTTCTATTGGAGTTTCATAAATTTAGTTCCTTACTTGTTAAGTAATTTTTAAGATATATCTGAGGGACTTTAAAACACAATATTATTTCTCATTACAGGACTACCATGATCACATAGCCGAAATATCAGCAAAGCTTGTAGCGATAATGGATAGCTTATTTGACAAGCTGTTATCCAAGGTAATGGTATATAGAAATTTGGGGGCTTTCCTTAAAAAGCATCATGCTTTGCATTTCATAGGGAATCCTCTATAAACATGATATGATATGATAATCTAAATTCTCAGAAAATATTTACCAGTTAGTAGGATTTAAATTTTTTTTTTTTTTTTCAGTAAAATGTGACCATTTCTTCTGGTCATGGCCTCCATAGTGGTCAAACTGCAGTTGTATAACAAATCAAATACTTCAAGGTTTAAAAAACAACCCAATTTAATTTTCCAGACTTTCCAAATAGTTGATACTCATCTTCTAAGGGTCTGATGGAAGTAGGGGAGATGATGCAAGGATGATAGAAACCCTACATAGAAGTATTTTTAACTTAGCTGCATTCACAGATACGTACCTCCTTTAAAGCAGATTTTAGCTTGAAAGGATTCCAAAGAATAGAAACAACAAAGATCAAAATAGAAGTTATTTGAGATGAAGTGTGTTACTTTACTTTCCTAGCTAAAAATGCAGTTCAAAGTGCTGCATTATTTCCCTTATATAATCAATCTCTATATTCATTTCTTGTTTGTTTTTCATTCTCATTAGGTCATCAAATGAAATGATGATCCCTAAAGAATTCTTAATTATACTGAGAGATTGTCTTCAGACAAATATTTATAGACCCAATCACTTTTGCCTTATCCTTTACTCATTTCTTTTCCTAAGTTCTTTGGTACACATCTTAGGGTAAAAGCAGAAGATTCATAACTTGAAAATTTGAAGGTATATTTAGTATTTGTTTTTTGCCCAAGATCACATTTAGGGTAACTTTGCTAAGTAAGGTAATTTGATTTCTTTTCCTCCTACTTAAGTTCTTCAGATTCTGAACCATCAGGAGCAGTAAGCATATAAGATTAAAAGGGCAAGTAAGTGACGCCCCTTTACCCAAATTAGACACGTACCTTAATCTGTGAAGATGCCAGTGAGAAAGGAACACTTGGAAAATGAACTCATTTTTGTTTGATTGGTCTCAAGTTTCAGTCACTGGACTTTTTTACATTCTTAAAAATAAATGAGGAGGGAATCAGCAGTTAGCGTAATGGCTATGTCGCTGGACTCCCACGTAGTCGACCGCGGTTTGCGTCCCAGACCCGGTGGCTTAAAACTCACGCCGGGCGTGTGTGCGTGCGTGCCCAAGATCCCGAGAGGAGAATGGAGGAGAAGGGATTGTGGCGTGACCATCCCCTCTGGGGGGTGATTTCTCGCTTTCTGTCTCTCTGTCTCTCTCTGTCTGTCTGGCGAGCGCATGCGCCCTATAGCGAAAATCTCTCCAATAAATTAAATAAATAAATAAATAAATGAGGACTGGGGGCTGGCAGGTGGCATGATGGTTAGGGTACTTGATTCCTACATGGCTGACCGCGTTTTAAGTCCTAGACCCAGCAGCTTGCCTTCTCACTTTATCTCTCTCTCTCTCTCTCTCTCGCTCGCTCTCTCACTCTGTCCCTCTCTGGTCAAATTAAAATAAATAGATTAATTAATTCATTTTAAAAACATTAAAAATATGGGACCAGCAGTTGGTGTAATGGCTATGTCACTGGACTCCCAAGTAGTCGACCGTGGTTCGAGTCCCTGACCCAGCAGCTTAAACTAACACTAGGCGTGTGTGCATTCGTGCCTAAGATCCTAAGAGGAGAGTGGAGGAGAAGGGATTGTGGCATGGCCATCCCCCTGGGGGGATGATTTCTCACTTTCTGTCTCTCTGCCTCTCTCTGTCTTTCTGGCGAGCACACACACCCTATAGCAAAAACCTCTCAAAGAAAGAAAAGATAAGAAAAACCTTAAAAAATAAAATAGTTCTCTAAAAAACAAAATAAATAAATGAGGACTCTAAAGAGCTTTCGTTTATGCAGTTTGTACTACCAATAAGTACCATAGTAGAAACTGAGACTAAGAAATTTATTAAAACACAAGAATACACAAACATACATTCTATTAGTCTTAAGAGCGGTGATGTGGGACCAGCAGTTGGCATAATGGCTATGTTGCTGGACTCCCATGTAGTCGACCATGGTTTAAGTCCCAGACCTGGTGGCTTGAACTCATGCTGGTATGTGTGCATGTGTGCCCAAGATCCCAAGAGGAGAATGGAGGAGAAAGGATTGTGGCATGGCCAACTCCCAGGCGGAGGTGGGGGGTGATTTCTTGCTTTCTGTCTCTCTGTCTCTCTCTGTCTTTCTGGTGAGTGTACATGCCCTATAGCAAAAACCTCTCCAAAAAAAAAAAGAGTGATGATGACATCATTGCAAGTCATGTAAAAATCCCCACTATTCAATCATGAGAAAATTAAATAAAAACAATAAATAACATCCTAGTATTACTATGAAAATAGCTTTTACTTCTCAGATTCCCTGAAAGGGTCTGTGTGTCCCAGACCATACTTCGAGAACTTCTGGTGTAGCATAGTTATTTTATGTTTCACTTTTAAGAAGTTTAAGGAATTTATAGTTATGTACAAACATATATGCAAATATAACATACTATGTTTTGCCCGTTAATTTCAGTTTTATATGGAGAAAAATGATTATTGTTTAGAAATTTTGTATTTTCTCTGTGAGTGCCAAGTATAAGCTAAAATTCGAAAGCAGTTCTAATTCTACCAGTTTCCTTTCTGACATATTTGCAATCTTCTGTGTACCAAAAGTCAATAACACATTGTCTGCTCTTAAGCTTACCATCTGGGACTAGCAGATGGCACAATGGTTATGTCACTGTACTCCCATGTAGTTGACCAGAGTTTGAGTCCCAGACCTGGTGGCTTAAACTCATACTGGGCATGTGTGCATGTGTGCCCGCGATCCCAAGAGGAGAATGAAGGAGAAGGAATTGTGATGTGGCCATACCCCCACGGGGTGATTTCTCACTTTCTGTCTCTCTGTGTCTCTCTTGCAAGTGCATGTATGCTATAGCAAACCCCCCAACAAAGAAAAAAAAAAAAAAAAAGAAGAAGATGCTTACCCTCTAAGAAGGTAGAGGACCTGTATAGAGCTAACGATATAGAATAACACAAATGGTAAATGGTGGAACCACTATTAGGCTGTGGAATGTAATAAAGCAAAATTTTAAAAAAATGCCAGCACTTTTAAAACTTTGACTTTAATTTTTCATTGTGATCATCAGAGTTTTGAACAAGAATTGTGACGGTAGCTAGATTTTTATAGGATAGAGGCATTATGGTAGCTTATTTCTAAGTACCTAAGTATGTATTTTTAAAAACTAAGAATGCATTTTTATACACACACACTACAGTGATCATACCTAACAAAATTAACAGTAACTCTCAGTATCGTCCATTGTCTGTCCTCCTATTTGAAACTTAACCAGTTGTCCCAAAATATTTTCTTACAATCGGTTATTTGAACAAAAGTTTCTATGTGGTCTGTACGTTACATTTGGTTATTTTAATTCTTTTATACACTAGAATACCCTTCACCCTTTTCCCTATCTTTATTTTTTATTTTTCGTAGAGGTTTTTACCTTAGGGCACATGCGCTCGCCAGAGAGACAGAAACAGCTAGAGGTAAAAATGAGAACTCACCCACTGGGGGGATGGCCACTCCGCAATCCCTTTTCCTCCTGGGATCTTGGTCACACACTAACACATGCCTGGCATTAGTTTCATTCCACTGGATCCAGGATTTGAATCACAGTCAGCCATACAAGAGTCCAGCAACATAACCACTATGCCATCTGCTGACCCCTGTTTTTTATTATTTTTTAAATATCGTTGACTTGTTGGAAAATGTGGCCAGGCTTTTATGACATAGCATTCTCTCTCTTGTCTTCCCCACTAGTGATTCTACCTTAGCATGTTACAGTATCCTAGCACTAACAAGTCCATCTTTCCCATTCCCTGCCCTATTTCTTTTCATGTGTTGCCCAGGAGTTTGACCCTGTTTTTAATTCATACTGAAATAGCAAACAGTATTTAGTTTGGGTATGCCTTTGAGCTTTTAGCTTTTCATTTTCTTAACTGGAAAGGATGATGCAGTAATGAAATTTGGGCTGATTCTCAGGAGGTAATAAAATTCTAAGAAGTTGATAAGCAAAGATACCATTGCTTGGATAGAAAGAAACACTAATTATACTAACAGCTAGACTAATGTTCTAGCCACCATTTGTTTATTCATTTATTCAGTAAGTTATGTACAAACCATTGTGTTAGGTAATAGATACAGCACAGCAAATAGGTCTTCAATCTTGTTCTCAAATAGAAATATATCTAGTAGGGGAAGTATATCAGTAAGTACAACAGGAGGCAGAACACGCAAAGTGTTATAAGTAAAGAATTAATCTTAATGCATTGGAATAAAGTTGCCAGCTGGAGAGGAAGATCTGGGAAAGCTTTGTAGATGAGGCATGAATATAATTTTTTGCTTTTAAAGATAGATAGGATGGGGCCAGCAGGTGACATAGTGGTTGTGGTGCTGGACTCCCACATGACCGACCATGGTCCAAGAGTCCTAGACCGAATGACTTGAAACTCACACCAGGTGCATGAGTGTGTGTTCTCAAAATCCCAAGAGGAGAATGGAAGAGAAGGGATTGTGGTGTGGCCATCCCTACTGGGAGATGATTTCTCACTTTCATTCTCGCTGTCTCTCTCTGTCTCCAGCAAGTCCACATGCTCTAGAGCAAAAAACTCTCAACATAATAAATGAATGAATGAATGAAGATAGTTAGGGTTAGGGCAAATGAAGTAGAAGTACAGGTCTCTTAGCTAACACTATGAGCAAACATGTTGGCAGAAATCCTAAAATAATCTGGTGTCAGGTTTTGGAGTCAGGTAGATCTAAGTTTAAATCCCATATTTGTCATATATTAGCCATTGAAGGACTTGGGCAAATTATTAATTTCCTTAAGCCTCAGTTTCTTTCTCTGTATGAGGTTAATAGTAGAGCCTACCATAAGGCGATAGTGAGAATTAATGCAATAATATATAGAGAGTGCTTTTCTTTTTTCATTAGTCTGGCTACAGAAGAAAGTTCCAGTAAATATTGACTACTAATGCTTTTTTTTTTGTAAGAGGTTTTTGCTATAGGGCGTGTACGCTCACCAGACAGACAGAGCCAGACAAAGGGACAGAAAACGAGAAATCACCCCCCAGGGGGGATGGCCATGCCACAATCCCTTCTCCACTATTCTCCTCTCAGGATCTTGGGCATGCACGCACACGCGCCCGGCGTGAGTTTTAAGCCACCAGGTCCAGGACGTGAACCGCAGTCGACTATGTGTGAGTCCAGCGACATAGCCATTACGCTAACTGCTGGTCCAAATGCTTTTGTTGTTAATAACAACAAAGATTTAGCTAATGTGGTAGGTAGGTGAAGAGAGGAGTGGAGGATAAGTTGGAAAGATAGTAGAGACTCTGACTACCTGTAGAAAGCTAAGCACTTAAAATCAGGTTTATTGGAATATAATTTTTGTTGAGTAAAATATATATAATTTGGTGACTTTATACAGCAGCAGAGCTGTAAGTAGTAGTAAAGAAATCTTGACCCCTTTCCATCTCTCCCATTCTTTGTCATTAAAAAAGAAAGAAAGAAATGTTGTTTTCTTATTTGCATCTGTGGTGGATACTTCTTTTTGCTGTACTCTGCCAAAAATGTGACAGTTTCTAGTCCCATCACTCCTCAGAGTGCCTTGTCACTCTTTAGGGTTAGTTCCCTTGGTTCCCATGAACTTTGTTCTCTATTGAATTCAGAAAAGATTTTTGGGGACAGATGGTGGCATTGTGGTTAAGGTGGCTGGATCCCACATGACCATCTACACACGGTTTGAGTACCAGACCTGGCAGCTTGAAAACACATTAGGTATGGGACTAGCAGGTGGCATGATGGGTGCTGGGACAACTCCCACATAGTTGTCCATGATGCGAGTCCTGGACCTGGCAGTTTGAAAATCATGCTGGACATCCGTGCATACATGCCTTAAATCACAAGATAATGGAGGAGAAGAGATTGTGGCATGGCCATCCCTCCTGGGGCGGTACTTTTTCACTTTCCCCACCTCTCTCTGTTTCTTTCTGCTGTCTTCCCTCTGTGTCTCTGTATGTTAATTTCCACCTCCTTTCTTTCATAAAGATCCCAGTTGTGAATTTTTTTTTTTTTTGGAGAGGTTTTTGATATAGGGCGTGTGTGCTCGCCCGACAGACAGAGAAAGACAGAGAGACAGAAAGAGAGAAATCACCCCCTAGGGGAGATGGCCACGCCACAATCCCTTCTCCTCCATTCTCCTCTTGGGATCGCCTGGTGTGAGTTTAAGCCACCAGGTCCGGGACGTGAACTGCGATCGCCAGTCGGTGAATTTAGGGCCCACTCTAATCCAGTGTGACTGGTACCAGTAGACATGAGATTAGAGAAACACTGTTCAACCCAGTACAAAAGAGTAGTTAAGAAAGGCTGTTACCACAATGAGATAACGTCAGACTCACTAGAATGCTAAATGAGAAAGACAGATAATAACAAGTGTTAGTGAGGATGTGGAAAAATGGGAACCCTCATGCATTGCTAGAAGTATTGTGAAATGGCATACTCACTTTGGAAGAGTTTGCCATTTTCTCAAAAAGTTAAACATGGAGTTAACCATATGACCCAATAATTCCAATACTAAGTATACTCAAGAAAATTGAAAACATGTATCTGCACAGAAACCTGTACATGAATGCTCATAGGAGCATTATTCTTAATAGCTAAAATGTGGAAACAACCCAGGTGTCCATCAGTTGATCAACTCGGATGTCCATTAGGTAATCATATTGATAAACAAAATGTTCTATAGCCATACAATGGAATATTATTCAGCCATAAGAAAGCACTGATACATGCTACCATATGAATGAACCTTGAAAGCAACATGCTAAGTAGAAGAAACCCCTATAAAAGGTCACATACCATATGAATCCATGAAATGTACACACAATATGCAAGAGATAGAAAGTAGATTAGTGGTTGTCAGGGGCTGAGGTGAGGGGCAGCTACTGAGTGACTACTAATGGGTTTAACATTTCTTTTGGGGGTGATGAAAATGTTTATAAATTAGTGGTGATAGTTGTATAAATACACTAAGTTTTCTAAATACCAATGAATTACACAATTTCAGAAGGATGAATTTCAGGATATGTGAACTACATTTCAAAGCTGTTACTAATTTTAAAAATAGGAGATTGTTTGATATGTTTATAGGCCAAAGGGAGTCAATTCCTTGGGAGGTCACAATTTTGTTTATTTTAGTCCAGTCACATAGTGACTTAAACATATTTCTCCTTCAGCAGTATATTGAAACTCACTACATTTTTTTTTTAGAGCGAGATTTTTGCTATAGGGTGCATGTGCTCGCTAGAGAGACAGAAAATGAGAAATCACCCCCTATTGGGGATGACCATACCACAATCCCGTCTCCTCCTTTCTTATCTTGGGATTTTGGGCATGCACGCATGCGTGCCTGGCATGATAATAACCTATTTAAGATTAAAATGTTAGTAATTATTAGAGTTAGACAGTGGCACAGTGGTAAATGTTGTTACCACTCTGAGAGGCTGACCCAAATGGGAAGGTTCCAGGTTCATGTCCAGAGACATCCCTGAGTACAATAGACACACATGTGCCCATGGTCCAGGGCTGGCTGGAACTAGAAGTAGATAACAGTGTCAAGACTCTTTTGGAAGTACTCTCTCTCTCTCTCATGTGGTCATCAAAGAAATAAACTTACATATATAAATGATCTATAATTTAAGCTATGTGAATTTTAAACTATAAGTCAAAAGATGATTGTTTAAGTCATACTAGTTTATTGTTCCAGATGTAAGAATAGTAATATGGGAGCTGGTGGGTGGCATGGTGGTGAAGGCACTAGAATCCCACATGGCTGACTGTGGTTCAAGTCCCAGACCTGGCAGCTTGCTTTCTTACTCCCCCCCGCCCCCTCTTCCTATCAGGTCAAAATAAAATAAATAAAGTTAAATAAAATAATTCTTAAAAAAAGAATAGTAAAATGAATTAACATAAGTTTAAATTTTCATCGTAGAATATTGCTACTTGTTTTCCTTTACCTTATTGTTATGGTAAATATGATTACTGTATTGGCCCACATATAAAATATAAAGACCATTTCAATCTTACCAGATTTCCATTTTTGATTCATATTATATATTGAGCCAGATTACTAGCCAGCATATTTTTAAGTACTTATTTGAATAAGCACTGTTTTGTGTTCTTATGAGTCATCTTTTTTAATCTTCCCACCAATGGTTTGAGATATTAGGGAAATTAAATAACTTGCCCAGAGGTATATTTCTAAGAATCGAAGGAGCTAAAGTTAAAATCTAAACAGTCATTTTAATATTGGAAACAGCCTGTATTCTTAGCCACTAAGCTCACCAAAAGTAGGTAAGGATACTGAGTGAAAGAATCTTTTTTTTTTTTTTTTGAGAGGTTTTTGCTATAGGGCACATGCACTTGCCAGAAAGATAGGGACAGAGAGACAGAAAACCAGAAATCACCCCCCAGGCGGGGATGGCCACACCACAATCCCTTCTCCTCCATTTTCCTCTCAGGATCTTGGGCATGCACGCGTACACGCCCGGCGTGAGTTTAAGCCACCGGGTCCGGGACTCGAATCGTGCTTGACATGGGATTCCAGTGATGTAGCCATTACGTCATCTGCTAGTCACCTGAGTGAAAGATTTTCAGGGTTTGTATGAATAGCGCAGATCACTGAGGAACTGTAAGCTTGAGTGCTATAGCAGCATTAGACATGGGGAGGGGCAGAAAGCATCTGTCTCAGGAGCAGTCTCAATATGCCATCCAGAAGGCATGAACACAATTCTTGTTTTTCCCTGCCAGTATGAAGTGAAAGCTCCCGTTCCTTCTGCCTGTTTCAGGAATATTTGTAAGCAAATGGCAAAAATGCATGAAGCTATATTTGATCTCCTTCCAGAAGAACAAACACAGGTGAGTAATAATTCCTAAAACTACTTCTCTATATATGATATGTATTATCTATGCAGCATTGGCATGTTTTTACATGCCTTTGGCACAATTAAGCATAATTCATGTTCCCATATGATGTTAACATTTTTAAGGTTGTTATATTGAGTAGTGGAACGTGGATGAAGTTTTTTTTTGCTTTTTTGTTTTTTTGTTTTCTTTTTTTGGAGAGATTTATGCTATAGGGTGCGTGCGCTCACCAGAAAGACAGAGAAAGACAGAAAGCGAGAAATCACCCCCAAGGAGGGATGGCCACGCCACAATCCCTTCTCCATTTTCCTCTCGGGATCTTGGGCATGCACACACACGTGCCCGGTGTGAGTTTAAGCCACCATGTCCGGGACTCGAACCGCGGTCAACTATGTGAGAGTCCAGTGACATAGCCATTACACTAACTGCTGGTCCCTGAAGTTTTTAAATTTTAAAGTATCCCTAGTTCTGACAAGCCAACGATTCTGAAAACAGACTTTCCATTTACCAATGAGTAGTAAAATATTACTTGCTGTGATTGTAATCCAAATTAGATGTAGGAAGAATTAGTGATGGAGTTAATAAGATTAACACACATAACTAACTCAGTCTGCTTTCTCATTAATATTTGTTAAATCAGTCTAAGTGCTCAATAGTAAGCACAGACCAGGAAAGCTAGCAACAAGAGGTCTTTCACACCTCACCTACGAAGAAATTGCCTTCTATCCCTACTGTATACTCCAAAAAAGTATTATCACAGAGTTCTCTTCACTCTTTGGTGACACCCCTACCTCCTGTAACCCTCGTTTCCCTCTCCTGGAACTTTGAAGGTTCTTCTGTCCCCCTGTCTTCTTTACTTACCATAGTTCATTCCCTCTGTCTGCACTCATTTTAGCCTAGCTGCGGAATGAGGCCGTGTTCAATACGAGTCTAGTTGTATGACTGAACAATTTAACTTTTACTGGATTTTTGTTTTTCTGGCAAGTTTCTTTCCTCTTTTTTTTTTTTTTTTAAGGATTTTTGGCATAGGATTTGTGTACCCCCCAGGAGAGAGACAGAGATAGTAAGGGAAAGTGAGAAATCACCCCCTGGGCAGGATGGCCACGCCACAGTCTCTTCTCCACTCTCCTCCTGAGCTATTGAACACACACACACACACACACACACACACACACACACACACACATGCACCATCTGGCATGATTTTCAGACCACCAGGTTTAGGACTCGACCGTGGTCAGTCATGTAGGAGTCCTCCACCTCAACTACCACACTACCTGCTGGCCCCTCAGGCAAGTTTCTTTAGGTTTGTCTCTCATTGGGTTGAGTGCATAAGGATGTATTTAGGATCAGAGGGTTCCTACTGGTTTTCTTTCCCTTGCTACCTCAGACTGCCATCCTATGCCCTTTCTTTTCATGTTTTCATTAATCTTACCAACTTCATGATTAAATATCAGCCAATTCTTTTGGGGCTCACTGTGGATTGTGGGAGAGTCATAAAATATTGAGTACCTCCTAGAATCTCTCTTTTTTTTTTCCTAATTTCTTTTTTGCCAAGCCATCCTTTTCATTCCAGATAGAAGATCCTATCTCTGATATTCTGACCTTGATTTGCCATCTTAATTCATATTCTAGAATAAGACTTGGCCAGGTCAGGAAGTTGGGCGTATAGATACTTCATGTACTTTTGTCTGCCTCATAAATTAAAGGACATTCTTGTCATAGCTAGGCAAAAGTTTTACGGTTCTACATCAGTATTGCTACTTGAATACCAGTAATTTCACAAAACTTTTATAGATAATTTTATATTTTTCCCATAGAAAATATATTGTTCCACAAAAGTATTTCCATAGATTAATTGTATATAATTTTAGATCAGGTATTATCCAAAGAAATATTGTGGCTTTCCTTTAAAAATAGCATGCAGGAGCAATTAAATACCTGGACATAATTTTACTAATATAGAAATATAATGTTATTTTTTTTCTTATCCAGTTTCTAGTTAATGTGTTGCAGAATTCTTCTCTACTTTTTATTCTTTCTACCTACCATGTTATCCCACTTATACATCCCATAGCATTCTTACAAGGTGCCAGAGGGCAGTCTTATAAATAGAAGTAGTATGCTGGAAGAGAAAAATGAGCCTTTATCCAACTAAGGAGGAAAATCTATACTGAAATAGCAAACACTTTCAGAGAAATATTTTAAAAGTATATGCCAAAGCAGAGGTTTTGTTTTGCTTTTTAATACTTCCTCCAAGTAATATTGATAACTCCAAAACTTATGTCTTCTATTTCGTGGAACTTTAAGAAACTTACTTTTATTTCTTTTCCAGATGTTATTTTTAAGAATTAATGCAAGTTACAAACTCCACTTGAAAAAGCAGTTATCTCACTTAAATGTGATAAATGATGGAGGACCTCAGAATGGGTATGTTTTTTTTAATGTATTTTACCACATACTCCCATATAAAAATATGTGAGGAAAAGATTTTACAAAATGTAATGGATTAATCACATAGTTACACCTTAATATGATTTTCTTAGTGTATTACCTATCTCATAGATCTTTAGGAATAATGTTTTTTCCCATTACAGTAATTTCAGGCTTAAATTTTAATTTATAGGGACAAATGAAAACATATATTTTGGGGTCAACTGTATAGAAGCTTCAGTCTGCTGAATTTGTTTGCCAGGCTGAATTTAGGGGTTTTATATAAATTTATTACTCACTCCCCCTTGATTATTACCAAATTCTTTTTTTTTAACATGTAAAGAAGTATTTGTTTTAAAAAATTTCAAAGTCACAGAAAAATTAAAGGACAGTATAATGAACACTGAATACCTCTCACCCACATTTACCAACTATTAAAAATGTTGCCATATTGTCCTCACGGTTCTCTCTCCCCACTTCTCTTTTGCCAAACATCCAAATAGGCTGCAGTTATCATGAAATTTAACCCTAAATACTTTGACATGCATCTCTAAAAACAAGGACATTTTGATACACCCAAAATGCCATAGCCCCTAAGAAAATCAACATTAATTTAATAGCATCATACCAATATACAGTCAGATATTTTCAACAGGAATGTTACTTTGGTGACACCGTGTGTGTATCTCTCTCATTTGTCCAGTGACACAGTAGTACATTATGGGGATAGTTCTTCTAACAGGTCATGGAAAACATGTAAGAAAAATTCTGCATAGATTGCAAAAATATTTTGCACTAGAACAAACTTGTATTTTAATTTCATGTTTCTCACAAAATTTTTGGAGACTCTTGATACAGTTGTATACTACTCCCTAAAGAAACTGTTCAAAAAAGCTACTATTTTTAAGGTCCACCTGCTGATACCCTTTTACTTTTATTTTCATTATTGAGCCTGGGTTGGTTAGTTTTTCTCAGACCAGTAGTTCTGAAGCAACCAAGGTTCTAAAATAACTCATTAGTTATTATTTTCTTTGTTAATATAGCAATGTAAGTGTCATTATAACCTTAGTGATCTTCACTGTCACATACAGAAACTAGCTAATCTAATCAATCATGTCTTTGGGTCCCTTGAAAAACAGGATTTCCCAGATATAAACATCTACATTCTGCCAAGGACATCAACTTCCTGCTTAAAAGAAGTTTTTTTAAAAATATATATTATTATTTTTTTCTTCTTTTTATTTGTATGTGTGTTTGTTTGGTTTGGTTTTTTGTTTTTTTTTGTTTGTTTGTTTGTTTTTGTCTTTTGTTTTGCCATAGGGCACATGTGCTTGCCAGGGAAAGTGAGAAATCACACCCTGTGGGGGGTGACCATGGTTGCCATCCCTTCTCCTCCATTTTACTCTCAAGATTTTGGGCACGCATGCTCAAATTCCTGCCATGATTTTTCAAGCTGTCAGGTCCAGAACTTGAACTGTTGTCAGCCATGTGGGAGTCTAGTGCCTTAACTACTGCACCACCTGCCGTGTGGCCTCTTTTCTTATCTTTCCCTGAGGGTACACACAATTGCCAGAGAGAGAGCAGCCTCCCATTGGGGCATGGCCACACTGCAATCCATTTTCCTCCATTTCTCCATCCTGTCATGATTTTGCACATGCATACACATGTGCCTGGTCTGTTTTTCCATAGTGCTTAACCCACTGCACTACAGGGCTGACCCTTAAAAGAAACTTTCATTCCTGACATCCTTTTAAAAATACCTTCTTCTGGGACCAGCAGATGGTGTAATAGTTATGTGGCTGGACTCTAGTCATCCATTTTCCTCCATTTCTCCATCCTGTCATGATTTTGCACATGCATACACATGTGCCTGGTCTGTTTTTCCATAGTGCTTAACCCACTGCACTACAGGGCTGACCCTTAAAAGAAACTTTCATTCCTGACATCCTTTTAAAAATACCTTCTTCTGGGACCAGCAGATGGTGTAATAGTTATGTGGCTGGACTCTAGTCGATGGTGGTTTGAGTCTTGGACCTGGTGGCTTAAAACTGACACTGGGTATGTGTGCGTGCATGCTGAAAATTCCAAGGAGATTGGAGAAGGGATTGTGGTGTAGCCATTCCCCCTGGGGGGTGATTTCTTCCTTTCTGTCTGTCTCTCTCTGTGTCTTTGGCTAGTAGTGCACATGCCCTTTAGCAAAAACCTCTCTCTCATTAAAAAAAAGGTTTTTTTTTTTTTTTGAGGTCTTTTTTTTTTTTTCGCTATAGGGCATGTGTGCTCGCCAGACAGACAGAGAGAGAGACATAGAGACAGAAAGCGAGAAATCACCCCCCAGGGGGGTTGGTCACGCCGCAATCTCTTCTCCTCCATTCTCCTCTCGGGATCTTGGGCACGCACACACACGCGCCTGGCATGAGTTTTAAGTCACCGGGTCCGGGACACGAACCGCGGCCGACTACATGGGAGTCCAGCAACATAGCCATTACGCTAACTGCTGGTTCCCCCCCAAAAAAGTTTTTTTTAAAGATAAAATTTTAAGATAAAATTCCTATAATATGAAATTGGCCATTTAAAAGTGAACAATTGAGTGATAATTGGTGCATTCACAATGTTGTTCAACCACTACTTCTGTCTAGTTGTGAGACATTTTCACTACTCTGGAAGAAAATCCCATACCCATGAGGCAATTGCTTTCTGTTCCTCTCCATAGCCCTCTACATTTTTCTTTTTTGCTTGTTTTATTTCTTCCAAAGGAGAGAGATAAGTACACACACTCCTCCACCTAGCAGGTCCTCATGCTGCACTCTGTCCCCAGCCTCATCCTAGATCATAGCACACCCATACACTCCGTGTGCACAGGGAGGTCCCAGTATGTGCATCTGGGACCTTCCAATGTGAGTCAGTCCTTGTATTGTGTTATCACAGTCTGGCCTCTACTTTTTTTTTTTTTTTAATGTGATTTTTCTTTTTCTCTATTTTAAGATTTTTTTCTTTTCTTTGGTGAGGATTTTGCTATAGGGTGCGTGTGCTAGCTAGAAAGAGAGAGAGAGAGAGAGAGAGAGAGAGAAAGCGAGAAATCACCCTCTGGGGGGATGGCCATTCTGCAATCCCTTCTCCTCCATTCTCTTCTCAGGATCTTGGGCACGCGTACACTCATGCACCCGGTGTGAGTATGAGCCACTGGGTCTGGGACTCAAACTACGGTTGACTGCATGGGAGTCCAGCGACACAGCCATTACACAACTGCTGGTCCCTATTTTAAGAATATTTTAAAATAGAGATAGAGGATAATATTTATATTCCCAATACCCTGAACATTTTAATTTTCACTTGGAAAAATGTTCATCAGGTTAAAAATAAAAATGGCATTTTAAAAAATTGCATTCCAAAAAAAAAAAAAAGAAAACTCACTTAACTGGAAAAAAAAAAAATTGCATTCCAAACCTCATGGAGCACCTCTAGCCCCATTTTCCTTTTCTCTCTACCTTTAGACATTTCTAGTGAATTTGGTATATATCCTTTTAGTCCTGCCCATATATTCTCTCTATATGTGAAAAATACATAGTGCTATTTGGTAAATATTACTTAACTTACATGTCTATTGCATATATGCAGCTTGCTTTTTTCCACTCAGAAATATTACTGATTTATCTACGCTGATTTGTGAAGCAGTCCGTTTTTGACTATTGTTGTATATTCTATTACACAAATCAACCATATTTATCCATTTCCCCTAATGATCGATTTCTAGGTCATTATGTTTTCCCTTTGCAACAGTGCCATAGTGAAGATCCTTACACTTAGTGTAAAGACTGATGTATGTCTAATGTTCTTTAGGGCTTCTACCTGTACGTGGATCAGAGCACAGGTTCATTTTCACTCTAAGCATTGCCAGTGGCCATACCAAGTTCACACTCCCTCCAGTAGTTGGCTTTTGTTTCCCACATCTTGCCAGTATTTCCTGTTAGGTTTTTCACTTACTGTCAGTCTGATGAGGAATCATCATATCTTGTTTTGATTTGTATTTTCCTGATGTTTGCCATCTTTTCAGTTTATTGGTAATTTGGAAGGTCTCATGTGTAACTTCTTCTACACATTTTCACATTTTTCTTTTTCTTGTTGACTTTGAATTTTTGTGTACATTCTCATACTAATATTTTGTTGGCTATATGTGTGGTCTCTAAAAAGTTCATGGAAACTGTGTATTATGAAAAAAGTGTGGATGGATTTATAAATTTTCTGTACCACAATAAACTGGTACTTTAATTCCACTTTTCTATGAACTTTTTGAAGTCCCTTTATATATGTTGCAAATATCTTCTTTTATGTTCTCTTATATTAAAATTTTTCACTTTTTTTTTTTTTTTTGGGGGGTTTTTGCCATGGGGCACC